AATACATTTCAAGAGAAAATTTTCACAAAAGAGTCAACAAAGGATTTTGTCACTTGTGTAACAAAACTGGCAATTTCATCAAGTTTACTGAAATGCAAATGTTTAGAGTGATAGTTTCTTAAGAAAAGAAAGAAAAAGAAAACTGGGAAAAGTTCAAGAACCGGCATTAAATCACAGCTCAGCAAGGGGCTAAATACCTTGCCTTTTCATAATGATTGATTAGTGTATAGACCTTAAAATATTTAATAGTACAAGTGGTTAGTATGTGCCAGGAATTATTTTTGAAAGCCATTTTTCTCTCAGCTCTGCTTGGGGTGGCAGACACTCACCAATGAAGGCTTTGATTGCCAGTATTAAAGGAATCATTGCAGGGTTGACATTTTGCTATGAAATATGAGAAGTTGAAACAAGGCATCATACCACTTTCTGAGCTGGTCTACAGATATATTTGTAAGAGTAGCCAAGGATTTTCCTTGGGAAATAATTTTGGGTCTGTCCTTGGTTGAGATCCCAAAGGTTCAGACTATACAGCAGAGACGACTTGTACATATTTTCTTGGAAATATTTTCAACCACAGCTACCATCAACATAGTGATGGAAAAACCTTGTCAACTCTCTTAGTCACAGAGTATTCTCAGTAAGCTGTTTGATGTCTGGACAACAGTAAGGTACCACCTTGTCTACCGGTTAGAATGAGTTAGGATTAAAAGCGTAGTCCCGACAGCCATTGAGTTGGTATACTTTATAGAGGGATATGAATCAAAAAGATTCTGGAGATAGTCTGTCCTCTTTTGATCTCATTTATTTGACCCATCTCTCTGGGATGAGTTAGGTACCAAGCACCAAAATCTATAGAGGCCCCTTCTAGTTCATGATAATAAATTATGGCCTTTGTCTTTTTTGTCCATGATAACAGTTCTCACAAGGACCTGAGCAGTGCTCTTAAAGGCCCTACACAACTTGGCCCCCGTTTCCTCTCTGATTCTCATTCTGACTTATTTAACTCCAACTTCACTGGAGTCCTTCTTATTCCTAGAACACATCAGGTAAACTCCTGTCTCAGGACCTTTGCACTGTCCATTTTCCTCCCTGTGACACTCTTCCTTCCAGCATCCCCATGCCCCTTTACTTCCTTTAAATCTTTGTTTCAATGCCATCTGCTTAGAGAGGCATACGCTAACCACCATATTTAACACAGTAACTTCCATCAGCATCCCCACTCCCATTATCCTACTTCACTGTTTGCCAGGGAACATATCACTTCCTAGCATGGTATGTTTTACTTGTATATTATATACATACCCAAATTTTTTAAGTAGATATTATTTGCCTCCTTCCACTGAAATAGAGGTTCCATATCCCTGTTTCTTTGCTTCTATTCTCTACTCCCAGCACCTCAAAAGTGTTTGACATGTAGTAGGTGCTCAATAAATAGTCTTTGAGTAAAGAAGAGCCTTTACATACTAGAAGCTCTAAATGGCTAGGTTCACACCTACCCTGATCACTTCTATGAGCTTTGTGTTTTCTTAGTGCTGGGAACATAGAAGGTGCTCAATAAATATTTGTTGGTTGGATGAATACATAAAAGCCAACAATATTTGGATACAAATAAAGAGAAGCCACAAATATTTTCCTGTCTTATATCACTTGAATTGTGTGGCCTGTCATAAAATTGTTTCTCTGGCAGTGATTCTTACAGAGCTAGAAGGCAGGTTCTGCAAAAACATTAATAATCAAGGGGACTAATAAATTCATACTTAGCTTCTAACCCATTCTATTTTATAGTCAAAGGTAAAAGATAGGTCATTGAAACCCACAAAGTATTTTATATTTTTCAAAGCAAGTTTCTCCATGAGGAGAGTATGTTATAATTATTGGTGATGGTGTACTTGATCCTGAAGTCCATCCACTCCTTTTAACATTTTGAATAAAAAGATACAGAACTGCTGTTTGTTACGGAGAAGGTGGGCATAATATTTCTAAGGAATATTTCAGTTTGAAATGACAAAATAGTTACCACTCTTGAAAATGGAGTGCATTATTCTGTGATGGCATCCAAAAGCAATTAATTATGCCTGTGGTGGGAGGCCTCTCATAACTTTCATTTACTGTGTTTAATAACGGAAACAAGTGATGCTACAATTAAGGGCAGTTTTCATAAAGCTAAAAGTAGTAAGACTGAAGATCTCAGGATATGCAGATTCCATGATCTCTTTTACTATAATCATCAGACCCAATTCTATCATTATTCTTAGCACCTCTCAGCTCATCAAATCTCTGCATCCTGGGCCACCCTCCCCTCACACCCTACCCTGGATGCCTCCCTGGGTCATTTGGACTTGATCTCTGAGTCAGTGTTCAGAGTATTGTGCAAGCATCAGAAGAGGTACAAGTACGAAGGATGTGTTTAGCACTCCAAAGGAATTACCCCACAGAAACCTTTTTATGCCTATTTAGTAGATGCCTCTGTAGTAACATATGAGTATTGTGCTTAAAATATTTCAATGCTATCCTTAAAAAATAATTTTATGGGTTGAGTTTGCTACTAAATTCTGCAGATATCATCTCTCTTGAAAATGTATTCCAAGTATTAAAAAATTATTCACAGTTCAAAGATTGTCACTACTATTAACATCTTAAATACCTATCTGGTATTGAAATAAAACTTTTAGCTTTCTTCAGAACATGTGAATCACTTGAACTAGATATACTTGCCATATTTACACTATCCGATTTGTAAGGAATTGTCTGGAAAAAAAGTTTGAAGATCTTCTGGATCTACTTTATTTTTTGGTTTCTTTCTGTTTTTTAAAAATGTATTGGGGTGACTTTGGTTAGTAAAATTATATAGGTTTCAAGTGTACAATTGCATAATGCATCATGTATATATCACATTGTGTGCTCACCACCCAACGTCAGCTCTCCTTCCATCACCATATATTTGACCCCTTTGCTCTCCTCCACTATCCCTCTCCAACCCTTTTCCATCCTGGTCCTGTCTTCCTAATTATAGTCTCATATTTCTAATTCCCAGGTAGGCATCTCAATCCTCATGAGTTTCTCCAACTCAATGAGTACAAACCCAACTTAATCATCGCCTTCCATAGGCTCATCCCAACACAACCAGTATCTGTTTTTTAATGTGCTATTTTTGTGAACTCTATCAGCATTCTCCCAGTGTTAATACATGAATTACCTTTTACTACTTCCTCTATCTTAGTTTGAGTGCACAGCTTATAAGTTATTTTTGTTAAAATTTTAAATGACTGCAGGATTCATATCCCCCTATCAATATCCACTGTCACTATTTTAATTTAGGGCCTCATCCTATCTCACCTCGATTTTTGGAAATAGCCTATATAGACTCAATGTTTCAGAGCACTTACCTTTTTCATAGCTATCTAAGTTTTCTCAACAAATCTTCAGTGGCATCTGTTGTTTAAAGAATGGACTTCAAATTCTTTAACATAATCAGCAAGTGCTCCCTAACTTAGTTCCCAAATTACTATTTGAAGCTTGCTCCATATTGTACTCCTCCATTACACTGTTCTCTAAGGGATAACTCTATTCCTTGAATTTAGAGATTCTGAATCTTTTCTGTACCATGGGTTCCTTTGGCAGTCTGGTGAAGTGCTTGGACTCCTTCCTAGAGTAATATTTTTGAATGCATAAAATAATAAACATAAAATTACCAAAGAAAACAATTCTATAGTCATAAAATTCTGTCCCTGTTGTTTATGTCATTGTGGCTTTGCTTATTATCCTCTGCCCATAGAAGTGCCCCAAAACCTGCTCTTCTCTTTCTTGAAATTCTTCTCATCATTCAAAGCCTATTCAATTCCCATCTCCTCTGTGCAGCTTTACCTTGACTCCCTACCCCATCTGTGTTCACCACTTTACCATTTGCCCTCTCATAGATTTGTATTTCTAGTTAGTCCTTATCTTTACTTTGCTCTTTACTATAACATATTGTATTAATTCACAATGATGGGCCAAACACTAAATTGGCCACTTTCACAAGTTTCATCTACCTATTTTTTTAAAAACACTATGAAATATGTGTATCAGGAGGAAACTGAGGTCCAGAAATTTTGTAGTTTGACCAAGATCACACAACTTGCTCCTTTTATAAATTATTTGAGGAAAGGAATATTTTATCCCTCTATATACCTCTCAGGATCTATGGAATAATATTTGTCTAGTAATGTTTGTTTATGTGAATTTAAAAGTTAGAAATACTGGGAAATACTGATTTCCCAATATTTAATGTTTCTAGAATTGACTGGGGACCAAGGGAGGACAGAGATGTGTACAAAAAGTTCCTAGGTGAATGTTTATGCTAATTAAATAAACCCTTCTAATACCTAGTGGTTTCACAAATTGAAAACTTATACAAGGGTTTTCATTAGTCAATTCCTTAAAATATTATCTCTTGTTTAGCACTGCTAATGAAAAACAATAATCAAAGTAGAACAAATTAAAGAATTTGATATCATAATGAATCCAGGAAATGTTTACATTTATAATAATAAGATCAGTTGTATAACTTATTTCTTATACCACCTCCTCAGTGAAAACAATAAAACCAACTCAATTTACATTCATATAATGATACACTTAAAATCTAATTCCCTTATGCCATTTTCACTTTTCTGTAGTCAAATATGTTTTGCAAGTTTTCTTAAAACAACATTGTTAGACTATTTTAGAATTTGAAAAAAAAGATTTATTTTAGCAATAGTAATGTTTTATTTTCATAGTATTGTTTTGCATCATGTATTGATGACCATTAATTTTTCAAGTGGACATTCTTATGTATAGTAATTATTTTGAGAGGAATTACATCTTTTTATTTGCTAATACCTTTAGTGTGCTGTGAACTATAAATTAACATATACTAATTTATTATGGCTATCCATTTTTCATGATGTTTTCTGTTATTGTACTGTAGCAAACACTAACTCAAATATAAATGGGTAATTGATTTTCTGTTTTTACAGCTCCAGATGGGCCTCCTGAAAATGTGTATGTAGTGGCAACATCACCTTTTAGCATCAACATCAGCTGGAGTGAACCTGCTGTCATTACTGGACCAACATTCTATCTGATAGACATCCAATCAGTAAGGCTTGTCTTACCTTCTGAGAAAGGCAGTACAGAGCATGGTTAAGAATTCAGGTTTTAGAACCAGACTATTTGCACTTTAACCCTGAAGCTCTATTAGACCTTAGGCAACTTACTTAACCTGTCTGTGTTCCGGTGTCCACATCTATAAAATGAGGATTAATAACAGATCATAGTACCTAGGGTACAGATGTTTTTTTGTGAAGACTAAATCAGTTTATATGCATAAAGAATTTAAAACACTGCCTGACATATAGTAAGCACTCAATAAATGCAAAGAATTATTACCATGATTATTATATTGATCTTCAGGGTGTAGATGACATACATAAATGGCTAAATTGGTCATAATACTTGGTTTAAAATACAGCAAAAAAGGACTCAAAATACAAAATGAGAAGGGAGAGGGCATGACGGAAAATATATCCGAAGTAAATAACTTCAGAGCTTATCATTATATCTCTTCATTTGCATTATCTTATCCTATCTTATCTAACAACATTTTGATGTAAATATCACTATGTTTGAAGAAGATTTTGCATAAAGGGGAACTGAGGCACAGGCATGATAAATAACTTCTTACAGAGCTGAGACCTGGCTGAGACCAGCAGACAGTGATGAGATGGGAAAAAGGAAAAGCCATTTAATGTCAAATAAAGTTTGCCAAATTGAAGCATACACTCAGCAAAACAACATTGTATCAAAGATAGCAAGAATTCAAACAGATTCTAGCACATCACTGTTTCCCTGTGGTTCTTGGAACTAAGTAGTCATGTAGTTCCATCCTCCCTTTATTCATTCAACACAAATTTTTAAGTACATCCAACATGCCAGCATTAGTCTAGGTGCTGGATAGGTAGAACCGAACAAGTCTGATGCAGTCACTGTCTTTATAGAGCTTACCTGTAGCTCATCTACATTCAAGAACCATTGGTTTCAAGGTCCAGGAAGAAGAACACGTCATTGCATTTAGGACTCATGGTACAGCCTGGACTTTACCAAATACTAGCCACAAGGACATAAAAGCCTTCCCTTATAAGATTCAAATTAAGTAAAACTTGACCATCTTAAATAAAATATATATGCACACAGATATCATCCTGGATGATTCTACTGGAAAATAGTGCGTTTTGTAGTCATTTGTTCATTATTCCCTTTATTTTTTCAAAATAACAAACATTTAGTGAGCAGACTCTGTTTATTAAAACAAGGATGGAAAACTAAGTTCTGCCCTCAAGTAGCCTACACTCCAGTAGGAGACACTAGACTATACATAGCTAGTTATAGAGTGTGAGGTATACAGTTTTTTGGGGTTAGGATACAAACTAACAAAGTAATTAAAGTTCCTGTTTTGGGGAACACAGAATATTGAGGAGACTTCACAGAGCAGGTTTAATTTGTTCTAGAAGTTGAGGAATGAATAAGGTTTTACCAGTTAGGGAAGGGTGGAGATAGGGCAGGAAAAGGAGAGAAAATGGAACCAGTCTAATTACTGGTATTGTATGTAAAGCCACCATACTTCAAAAACAAATAAAAATGTTTGAAAATAATAATAGATATTAAAATATAATATGAGCAAACAACCTTGGATCGAAGGGAAACGATGCTTCAAAGAGGCCTGAGGTGTCAGTCTTCCACAAGTGGACAAATAGGGGTTAACAATAACAAAAACAGGGTAGGTTTAGTGAAGAAAAATAATCAGTTTTGTACTTGTTTTTGAAGACTTAGCATTCCTTTTGTATTTTATTAATTTTTTTTAAGATACAGCAGATCACATGTATGCTATGTCATATTTTTACTTCTCGATATTTGTTATCCATTGTTTTCATGGAAGGCATTGGAATAGTTTGATTTTACTTTATAAGATCATGTCCAATGAACTTCCCGTGGTGTAGAGAGTGCTGGACTCTTGAAACACCTTGGGCAAATCCTATCTTAGGTACTGAGTAGCTATGGAATCTTGAGGAATTTATCTCAACTCTATAATCAGAGATCAAGTAGTTAAAGTACATATCAGGCAAGTAACATAAATGAGCCATCAAAATGAAGCCAACTGGATTGGGCTGTGATGAATTGGAAACCTCACCCCATTATAGATATCAACTATCACTCATCTCTAAATAATTGTTACCCAGAGTGACTATCAGACAAGTCTTAAGGAAAATTTTAAAAGCCAGATTTTACGTGATATTTAAATGTTGACAACTAATTAAATACACATACACACTTACTACCAGTGGACACATGCACCTGATCAATTGAAGTCCTATACTGATATATTTTTCTGCCATTTTAGAGAAGTGGCATCTCTTTCCACTACTCTGTTTTAAGGTGGGAATGATGTATTTGACATTTGCAATGTTGATGTTATTTATCAGCCTCTTGCTATGTTTCTCATAGCAATATTGTCTTTCTGTTAAAAAAAAGCTCTAAGAAAGAGCATTTGAAGAACATACTGAACAACAACAACAAAAAAATCTTTCAAAGTTAGGAGGGTGGGTCAAGTTGAAAACGAACTTAATATTTTGAATAATGTTTATAACCTGTTTTAGAGTGTCTTAAGTCAGGTACCTAAGATTTCATTTTTTTTTTATGTTTATCTCAGGAAAAGCCCTTCCATTTAGGGTTAGAAACTTTAGCTATGTTTATTCCCTACAGCAAATGGAGCAGACACTCTATCAAAGCCAGACCATGATTAAATAAATTATACAGCTATATTTAGTACACCGAAGGATTCTTATTTATGTACAATTAATAACTGACATCCACAATTGAGTCCTTGCATAGTGCTAGATCAGAGGTTTTCAAATTGCAATCATCACCAAAATTTTAAAATTAATTGGAATAAAATTTAAAAGAGCAGAAAATATCACAGTGCTTTTCGAAAAGAGTTGTATTTCTGAAAATAGTTTTTGAGTTATAAAGAAATACACACACACACACACACACACCCATATTCTGAATTATGTAATTATATTGCAAAATGTGTTTCCTTTTTGTGGTTCATGATAAACAAAACAAAACCATACCCAAAATCTCTGTGCCAGCTACTTCAGGTCTATTTTTTTCTAAATCTCAGCAAAACACTATAAATAGATATTATCATCCCAATTTTACATACGCAGAAAGAATGATACAGCATAAGTGACTTGACAAATGCTACAGGAGCTATTAAACGACTAAGATGGGATTTGAACCCTTGATGGCTGGGTATCAAAACCTGTATTCTTTCTTCTATAAAACATTGGGGTAGAAAGTAGTATTTCATTGACTGCAGAGATGATTTTTGCTTGATTTTGTTGATTTTTGATGGGTGGATTGATTGCAGTTGGTTCATTGTTTTGTTTTTGTTTGTTTGTTTGTTTTTAGTTTCAGTTGTTGAAATAATTGCTAATTAGTAAACTGTTAAAGTAGCACTTTAGATTTCCCAGGACAATCTGACTGTAAAAAAAAAAGAAAATACAGTTGACCTTTGAACAACACCAGGTTAGAGGTACAGACCCTCACACAGTTGAAAATCTGTGAATAACTTTTGATTCCCCCAAAACTTAAGTTGTCCCATGGTATCTGCAGGGGATTGGTTCCAGATCCCCCACCAATAACAAAATCCACGGATGCTCAAGTCACCTATGTAAAATGGCATAGATCAATATATACAGTCGGCCCAATGCAGCCGTGGACTCCCAAGCACGGATTGAAAACAGTACAGGTATTTACTGAAGAAAGTCTGCATATACATGGACCCACACAGCTCAAACCTGTGTTGTTCAAGGGTCAACTGTGCTTTCAATCTTGCCTAGATAAATATGCCACACGTATCTTTGTAGTATATTTTAGTGATTTGTATATCAAGTGCTGCTTCCTTTAATTGTTAGCTATTTTTTTCCTGTAGGTAGATAGTGATGAATTTAATATTTCCTTAATCAAGTCAAATGAAGAAAATAAAACCATAGAAATTAAAGATTTAAAAATCTTCACAAGGTATTCCATAGTGATCACTGCATTTACTGGAAACGTTAGTGCTGCGTATGTAGAAGGAAAGTCGAGTGCTGAAGTGATTGTTACTACTCTAGAATCAGGTAAGGTGTATTTTTCATCAGTGCTAAAAACTGGCTGAAAGTTAGGGGTCTTTCTTACAGTATCTCACTCCTCACCCTAAAGAGTTTATGTGTTGCGAGAAATGTTTAAGGCATATAATATAAAATTCAATGATTCACTATGATTGACAAAATTTAGCTTTCTATTTCTGAGGCAAAGTGGAATTATGTAGGCTACTCAATCCTTGTGAATACAAAAACAAATTAATTTATAATAAACCCAACTGTACTTATTTGCATTTATTAATATTTAAGCGCTAAATGTTTCAGAAATTGTTACCTCCCCTAAGAGATGAGTTTTACAGTTGTCTAAAGCCAATAATGGTTATAAAAATTTAAACCCCATTTTAATTATTTCTGTCTCATAATTTAAGTGCACATTAACGTGATAATATTCTGGTATTAAATAATCTGGAATTCAAAATTAGAATCCAGGTCACACTTACCATATCTGTTTTCTTCACTTCGTTAAGTGACATGTTTTATTATATATATATATATAATCTATTTGATAAATGTCAGAATCCATACAGATTTCCTCAAGTTCCTATGAACAGGGTCTGAATGAATAATAAGATTGTAACCAATAAGAATTAAATGTGGAAAGTCAACTTCCCAGAACTCGCTTGCCCCATTCTCCTTCAGACTCCTGATGTTCTTTGCCACCAGATATATCTTTGGAGCACATGAAGGGATGTGTTGCTATAGTTTATTTGTTGCTATATGTAAGGTAAGTATAGGAGGTAAAAATATTTTCTAGCTAATTCTTTCATTATGTTACATACTGTATTGTCTATAAAGTTATGGCTCTAAATTAAAAGGTACACCTTATTCTCAGCACCCTAAAATTCTACTGGATTCCATTTTGCTGCCACATACATCCCAGGTATCTATCTATTTGCACTTTTCTTTCATCCTACCTATCTGTGAGGAAATATGCTACTGAACTTCACATTCATACCATAAAACATCCATTGTAAATCTTAATGTGCTACCTCTCCCAAGGATATCGTAGTGTAATAAATTTTTACTAAAACTTTGGAAATAGAATTTTAGATGTAAAGCCAAAAATATTTGAAGTATATGAAGTTTTTTCCAGCGTTCAGAGAGTTCTCTCACTTATCCAACTATAAGCTTGATCTAATTTTTGATAAACATCTTATACGAAGAAAATATATTTAGTATTTCTTATGTATCCTAAAAATGTGTAACAGTTAATATTGTGAAAATGTATGTTGAACCAATTTAACCTTTATTTTAACTATGCATTTTTCTACTGAAAATGTGATATTTGGCACCATAACATGTTAGTTATCTGATTCTCTTTTTTTCTCACTGTTATTTATTTACTTATTTTTTACTTGCTACAGGGCACTATTTTGAAAAATGTTTGCAAGAAAATGAAGCTTAAGTATCTGAACTTTTAACAGTCAAATATTAAAAGCCTTCTTCATGGAAATTCTTTACTTAGAATGGAAGAATATATTCATTTCAACTTGATCAAAAGAGATATTCATTCAATCAGTTGTTTACATAAAGAACACTATGTAGTACAGCAAGAACTAGTTCCTATATTCATAAATTTCATCCTCATGTATATAATTTTCTTTCACAATAATTTATTGATACTTAACTAGTTATATGTTAGGCCAACTTTTATTTATCAAAAATAAACTGGAATATCTAGACTATATAAAGAACTCTCAAAACTCAACACTTTAAAAATCCACTTACAAAATTGACAAAAGACATGAACATATGTACATTTCACCAAAGAGAAGATATGATTGGCAAATAAACTCATGATAAGATAGATTTTCAACATCATTAACTATTAGGGAAATGCAAACTAAAACCACAATGAAATATCACTAGGCATCTACTAGTACAGATAAAATAATTTTTAAAATAGTGATAATACCAAATGCTGGCAAAGATGCAGAAAGACTGGATTTCTCATCCCTTGCTAGCGGGAATGTAAAGGGTATAGCTACATTCATAATCTTTTATAAAATGAAGCACATGCTTACCACATGAATGAGTAATTATACTCGTATATTTATCACAGAGAATCGAAAACTTATGTTCATGCAAACACTTCTATGTAAATGTTAATAGCAGATTTATTAGTAATAACAAAAAGGAAAACTAGAAATGACTCAAATTGTTTTCTATGATTAAACAAATTCTGATACATCCATAAAGTAGAACGCTACTCAGAAATTAAAAAAAAAAAAAGAATGAAGTATTGATATATGCTACAACTCTGATAAACCTCAAGGTCATTATGTTATTGTCTTTCTCAAAATGACAAAACTTTGGAGAAAGAGAATGCTTAAAGTGGAATGGAATGTTGTGATGTAGTACAAATACACAGGGATAGCAGGAGGTTCTTTTATGGTGATGGGACAGTTTTGTATCTGTTTCTGGTGATGGATACAGGAATCTATACATGGGATTAGATTGCATTGAACTACACACATATACAGAAAAGCATGAAAAACTGGTGAAATCTGAATAAGGTCTGTAATCAGGTTAACAGTTTTGTACCAATATCAGTTTCCAGGTTTGAAAGTTAAGTTATAGTTATATAAGATGTCATCACTGGGGAAAGCTAGGGGTAGGCTACGTGGGACTGTATGCATGATTTTTGCAACTTCCTGTGAGTCTATATTATTTTTAGTTAATTTCAAATAGTCATAGAAATGTATTCTGTATAAAAACTAATGCATATAAAAAGATAAATAAAAGAATGTGAATGAATAAATAGGCAAACCGATCACCGTTATGGTTTCTGTGACCTATCAATGTCAATGATTCTACAATGCATCAGCCATTTTGCTTGTTGCCATATTTATATGGTTTAAACAATTTGTGTAATACTCTTTATAAGCAGAAATTTGAAGCAAATAAGTTTTATGGGGATCAAAAAGAACAATATTTTTATATTTAATTACTAAATATTTTATTTTAGTCCCTAAGGATCCACCTAACAACATGACATTTCAGAAGATACCGGATGAAGTTACAAAATTTCAGTTAACATTCCTTCCTCCTTCTCAACCCAATGGAAATATCCAAGTATATCAAGCTTTGGTTTGCCGAGAAGATGATCCTACTGCTGTCCAGATTCACAACCTAAGTATTATCCAGAAAACCGACACATCAGTCATTGCAATGTTAGAAGGACTAAAAGGTGGACATACGTACAATATCAGTGTAAGAATTCGTAGCTTTTAATTAGTCACCTTTTTTACAAAGTCAATTTACAAACTCACTACTCAAAAATACTGAAGCTTATGTACACACTATATTTTTCATGTTTTTGTATGATTGTTTAAGACATGCTAACAGAGAGTAGTTTTAGAGAAATGAAATTGCTGATTTCCTATTATAATACAGCAAGTCCTATGAAAATATGTGGATAATAAAAACATTTTTTACAATTATAGTAGTAATCCAAAAATAAAGTAAAGGAGAAAGAAAATCCATGGTAAAAATGAAAGAGTAGTGATGTATAAAGAGATAATTATGCAAAGGAAACTGTGTATATGTGATTATAAAGGGAAGATGGAAAAGCAAATTTCAAAAGGCAAAGGGAAGAAATAACTATTTATATGATAAAAATTACCATGTATTTCACATAACTATTACTAAAAGCTAGTTGCATTTTATATCTTGATTTTCAATTATCCATTTTGGAAAGTAACTATGTATGTGAGTTCATATTCATACACACACAATTTGTTTCATCCTTTGACTATTTTTGTAGCATATCTTACGATTTTCAAAAAGAATTATGTAATTCAGAAAATCATTTTTTAAGCAACATAGAATTCATCCTAAACAATTACAAGCTTAGTAATTAATCCTCCTACCAACTCTTGATAATTATCAGAACACTATCATTAATGATTTGTGTATATATATATATATATATATATATATATATATATATATTCCTTTCTTCCCTCTGTCACTTTGTATCTTATTATGTAATCTCTCTGCTAGGATTCTTGTTGCTCATACCATTGAATGGACCACCATTGTGAAAACTCTATTAGAGGGAGAGCATTTGTGAAGAACTGGCGCCTGGGTTCAAAATCCTGACTCTAGTATTTTCTGGGTCTGGTCAGTTTCCCCAAATCTGTACCTTAGTTTCCTTATATGAAAAATTAGTAATTGGAATAATAATTTATTTGTAGGATGTTTGTGAGGATTACAAATTTGTAATTATGGTAAGTAGTGAGTGGTCTATCAGTTTTGCTTATTATGAAGAAGAGAAAAAAATAGGAAGTAAAACAAAGCACAACTAATTTATAATTTAAAGAACAAGAAATAAATTCTCTGATTGTTCACAAAGTGCAATTTACAGCATTCTTAAAACCTGAGAGTTCATTAGAAATGTGTAACTTGAACATTTGCTCTGATCTGCTAAATCACAACCTGTATATCTTCATTTAACAGGGTTCATAAGTGGCTTCGATGCAATTTAAGAAGCACTGCCTAACTTCATTTATTATCTCACTTAAATGTCAGGTTCTACCATAAAGAGATAAAAATAATGAAGCACACCATAATATGTTTAATTTTGGATACTTTCTTATATCTACAAACTCCAATAAATATTTTATTTACATATTTTTTAACAACAGTTTTGGGGCTTGGTTTATTTATTATACCGACCACATCATATATATCATTATAATTTTAATTCAATAAAAATATTCCCAAAGTATCTCTAGTGTGGAGTGTGGGCCACTAATATGTAAACAAGTTAATTAATTCCAATAAATCTATTATGTTCTGAATTTTGTTTATAAGTACAATGAAATGGGCCAACCATAATCTTTATTTTATATACTATAACAAGATAAAGTGAATAAAAGAAAACTGTGTCTACAGTGTGCTAAGCACAGAGTTAATTAAAAGGGTTCACATTTGTGTAAATCACTCTCTGTATATACAAAGCGGAATGCTTTATGTGTATATGCTGCATTATGCAGGTTACAGCATCAGATACTTTGGGGCAGGGGTGAAGAAGGGCATAAAGGGCAACTTTCAGAGGGATGATTTAATACGGGAAAACTGGGAGGCTGAAGGAATAGGATTTCATCTCAGAGAAGGAGGAAAGGACAATCTTGAATACTGACTTAAAAAAAGCCAGTTTCCTAGCTACAGAGAGGAGGAACAGATGTTAGAGTAGATGAAGAGAGAGTATAGACATAGCGGCTTTTCTTTGCTCTTCCCCCAACGGGTTCAAATTGAAGCCACAACCCTCTCCTGGTCTCTGTAATCGGGCTGTTTAGGTCACTCAGCCTTTGTTCTTAGGGCTTAGTTAAGATCAGTTTTAAGAATTACTTTACTGTTAATGTTCTACCCCCATATAGTATGCATTTAAGTGAGTGCAACAAAAATATAATTAATAGACTATATGCAATTTTTTTAAGTGGGTCATTTTTAAATTACATATAACTAAAATCAGTTATGTATACACATAAGCAATTATTTGAAAATAGTAACAAGATATTTCTTTGTTTTAGGTTTATGCGATCAATAGCGCTGGTGCAGGGCCAAAGGTTCAGATGAGAATAACCATGGATATTAAAGGTACATACATGAGCTGCCTTTCCACAAATGCTGTTGTCCTAATCAAACAGTAATTAGCATTTGAATTCCAGATTAGAGTTAAGGATATAGTCAAGCTTTTAAATGATGCATATGCATGTAATAAGCATATTTAAGTAATAATGTATGCTTATTAAAGTTATAATTAAAATGTGTAAATAATGATGCAAATTACCATGTTAAATAAGGAGAATGCCCACCTGCTATTTTTCTTATACTTTTCCTCTCAATTTAAACTTGTCTAAGCAAATTTCATAGTCTGTTATTTTGCTTTTTAATTCTATTGAAAACAAAACTCATTTTTTAAATTACCCATGACTAGAAGTTGACTAGTTCTAATTAGGTTCCTTGACTTGCCTTTATTTATATTAAAAGTTCTTTTTTTCTTAATTAATCAAATAATGTTTACTAAACTACCATAAACTCAACTTTGTGATTCTGACAATAAAATAGATCTATCGATTCATTATCCTGACCGGTAGTTTTCATAGAAAATATAACTAAAATTTGGAGTCCCTCACCACCCAAATCCACAAAAACTAAAAAGATTACGAGGAATTTCAAGCCATTCATTCATGGAAGGTGCCTTTTCTTCCTGAGACTAAAGACATGCGTGTAATTGTCTCATCTCTAAAAATCTGTATAAAACTTGCAGAGAGATTTAAAAAAAGAAAAAATTAAGTGTATGGACCTTTAGAGAATTCTACCATCTGATGCAAAAAGTAACTTTTCTCAGCTTTTGGTAAGGACAGCACAGTGCAGTGATTATTGGGTCGTCAGGAAGGTCATGATGCATTTTTGCATTGAAAAACATAGAAAAATACGTCATCACTTTCCTGATGACCCAGTAGAAGGGCCAGCTCTAGGCTGAGTCTGGGATCAAACGGCTCCGATTTAATCCTGGATTGGCCACTTGATATCTGTTTGACTTTGGGCAAATTTTTAACCCCTATAAGCCTGTATAGTGGAGATAATATTAGGTCCTGCCTCATGGATTGTTGTGGGGATTCAAAGAGATAATCTTTGAATGACAGTGCTTGGACACTAGTACCATCAAGAATAAAAAATATCGGGCTGGCCGAGTGGCTCGGTTGGTTAAGAGCTCGCTCAAGAGTTTGAACTCTGAGCAACAGCGGTTTGATGCCCGCCCGAGCTGAGTTGCCGCTGAGCTGCCAACAGGTGGCAGGATGGCTCAGCTAAAAAAAAAAAAAAAAGGGCTTAAGAATAAAAAATATCCACTGTAAGGTGAAGCTGATACATTTTCTTTTCATTAGCGGGTAGTTTATATAATCGCCATGTAAGTATTATTTGCTTTTTATTGATAACTTACGTACTTAGAATACACAAATCTACAAAGTTTTCAAAAATATCAGCAATTTTACAAAATGACTTCATAAAGAAGAGCTTACATCATAGTATCATCTTAATCCGTCTTTGTTGCTCAGTGGCAGACATGTAGGTATGCAGGTAACAATAGCTAGACTCTCCAGCAAGCCTAGCAGAGAGCTCCTCAGGCTCTTCCTGCTGAATTCTTCCTTCCTTTTTCCCTTTCACAGGTGTCAGGCCTGTGATCTATGGTCTAAAAGCTCTCACCACCTACTCCTGCTCCCTGTCCTTTTTCTCCAATCAACTCTCTACACAATTAATTTCATCATAGCCTTTGCATCTCAGAGGGGTGAGCTAAAGGATCTAGTTAAAAAGATTTGGTTCCCTTTATAGCTATGTGACGTAATTCCATTTCCTCATCTATAAAAGGCAAATGATATTGTCAATTTTATAGCATTATTGACAGTCATTTAAAAAAGGTTTAATAAATATGGAAATTAAAGTTTGATTAAGCAACTTATTTAATGCTCACTTATATATATAACTATAAAATGAAGTGAAACAAGCAGCCTTTCATAAATATTGATTTTTGGAGATAACTTGTATGCATTGAGGGTAAAATGTGAATTATCATGGCACTTCTAGAAATTATTCTGGCAATATCTATTAAAGTTAAAAATACATATGTATATCTTTTGTTCCATAAATTCTGCTCTTGGGAATCTAGTCCATAGAAATAAAAAGATGGTTGGCATGGATAAACTGGGAGGTAAGGGGAGCTGCAGGTATGACTAGAATAGTAATTGGCAAATCAGGTAAAGAAAGTAGAAAAAGGAGAAAAGACAGTCCAATAGTAATATAATTTAATGCATTTACAAAAATTATATATGAGTGACAGCATATAGAATTTGAATTTATTTAATATGTGAAGAGAAATCAGATGACCAAAAAAAATCACACTTGGGCCCCCTTACCTCAGGAAAATCTCAAATGTGTAATTATACCACCAGGGCATAATAATTGCTAAATATTTGCTGTATCCAAGAGAAACTCTGTTTCATTTGTTATTTATGTTTGTCATCACTTTATCTGTAAATTACCTTCATGAAACAAGAATTTAAAATGGTTTTTTCTTCTCTTCAGAAACAAAAAATCAATGGTAATGATATTTCTTCTTTGTTTACAGCTCCAGCACGACCGAAAACCAAACCAACCCCTATTTATGATGCCACAGGAAAACTGCTTGTGACTTCAACGACAATTACAATCAGAATGCCCATATGTTACTACAATGATGATCACGGACCCATCAAAAATGTACAAGTGCTTGTGGCAGAAGCCGGAGGTATCATCAAGTGCCAACTTCTCTTGTGAAATCATTAAGTGGAAATTGCTGAATGGTTTAGAAATTTCACTTGAAAATTAGTAATATAAGGTTGACTCCTCATTATCACACAACTCTTGAGCTTAATAGGTTGTCAGTATTAATTACACTAATCATTTATTTATGTCTAAAATATTTTGCCAAAATAAGAGAAGGCATAGTTAAAATATGTGATTGATTTATTCCATATGCCAGTAGGATTGTTTCAGTTTTGATGAGATGGAGTGTGGGTAGTTTCTTTGGAGATGTGAACGAGAGAGTTACTCTTGACTAAGGGATTTTTTTTTTTTCTACCTGCTTATCCAGGTAAATGAGCTGAATCACCCCTGGTGGTACAGTGAGAGGTGTTGCATTCAGCTTTTCCTTATGAAATTATAAAAACACCCTTTATAACTGTGAAAACACATTCATGTATTATTCTTAATCATCCTTTTTTTCTGAAAATAGCTCAACATGATGGAAATGTAACAAAGTGGTATGATGCCTATTTTAATAAACCCAGACCATATTTTACAAATGAAGGCTTTCCCAACCCTCCGTGTACAGAAGGAAAGACAAAGTTCAGCAGCAATGAAGAAATCTACATCATTGGTGCTGATCATGCATGTATGATTCCTGGCAATGAAGACAAAATGTGTAATGGACCTCTGAAACCAAAAAAGCAATACTTGTAAGTATAGTATCGTTTATAACTACCATGCATTGTGTTAGCAAGAGAGTTGACATCTTTCATCCATCCATCCACCTATCCTTTCATCTTTCCAGTAAGCACTGGGCATCTGTCAGGTATTGTGACCTGGTCTTTTAGGCCCTCAAAATGTAAAGATCAGGGGCCGGCCGAGTGGCTCAGTTGGTTAAGAGCTCGCTCAAGAGTTTGAGCTCTGAGCAACAGCAGTTCGAGTCCAGCCCGAGCTGAGCAGC